TTGAATTGAAAATTTGAGAAGAATGAAGAGAGGAAATATGATCTTACCCAAACATTGAAATTTAGATTTTTGTACGTCACTGATTCCACATTGAAACCAATAGTCGGTATTGTAGTTACCACTTCTCCAATCTGCAGTTTCCCGTTAGCATAAAGCCCCTCCTGTTATGCCAAGGTCAAGCCACTAACCTTCAACCTATATAGTAATGTGGTCTTTCCAGCGTTATCCTAACCAATTCGCAGATACATTAGCTTCCCCTTCTTCTTTACAAGTCCTCGAATGCGCCTTCAGCCTGCTACTTACCAGTCCCAAAATCAATATCCGGATCTCTTTCTTCGAAAATAGCATCCCCGACAGCCACGAAACACTTGCGCCCATTTTTGAAAGTTTTGTAATGGTATTTCCTGTTCTCTTTTCGTTCCTCTTAAAGTCGACCTCCTAAACAACTATGCTTAGCTGTCCCCTATCCTTGTCTTCCTGGAATCTTCCTTTCTTTGTCCCAATCTTATGCTCAATAATCACCAAATTTGTAGAATTCGTAAATCGTCGTGATGTTGTAATCGTTTGCGAGAATTGGGGTGTCTTGTAGTGTCAAAAGGTAGGACTTTCTACTCAAGTGATCTATGTTTTACCAGCGAGGTCAACTGTTCAAATGTTGCTTTGATGCAGCGCCTTACCGTATTTCCAATCCTAATCGCGGAACCAGAAGTTTCCGATCATGATTAGTCATAACTTTATTTTTCCAAGCCGCTCACGTGTATTGACTCAAGACTTGAGCCTGAGAGCCTTAAGGCCGATTGAAAGGGCAACCGAGAAAGAAAGCCCTCGTCAGAATTTTTTGGTGTGTGAATCCATTGAACCTCGATCATCGGACTTTTGATCTAGCACGACAACGACAATATCGACGCCGACTTTTCAAGATGCCGGTATGTACTACCTTTTTTAAATGACGCATACGTTCAATCGCTTGGCCTGGGAAATGGAATGGGTTTGAGACAGTAAAAGGATTTATGGGCGCAAAATTAAAAGATGGAATTCACGATCTCGAATACCAACAAAACGACCTGGCCAAGAAGGAAAAGAACAATACGACAAATCATATAGATGCTAATTCGATACTTCTCTACAGTCCCAAAAGTCATTCCGCACCAAGCAGAAGCTTGCGAGAGCCCAAAAGCAAAACAGACCCATCCCACAATGGATCCGTTTGAGGACTGGTAACACCATCCGGTATGTTCAAGATTTAGAATGCCCCAGGGCAACAGCACCAAAACTACATTTGCACCTCATCGATTCCACTTTCGACTTTATAAAAAGTCGAGATGAATCGCTACCGAACATCAGCAACTCCGATCGAGCTTTTGACTAATTAAATCCAATAGATACAACGCAAAGAGACGTCACTGGAGAAAGACTCGTATCGGTCTTTAGATGTATTACCTTTCAACAGCAAAACATTCCATCTTCTCCTCAACCTCTACCCACGCTCATACGATTTTCTCTTTTTTCCGCTTCTCGCCCATCCACCAAACCATACTCTACTTATCCCGAATTCGCACGATATTAGGACACGAATGGCAATTTTTATGAGGGAGGAGCATGGAGATATGAAATGATAATTTTTGCTCGATTTGGCAGGAGGGTACAACTGATGGATGTTGCTTTGGGAAAAGGGAGGCGTAACATTTCTGATTGCTAGGCCGGTTCAATGAATGGCATATATCGCGATTGAGAGAGGATCATTGTGTTTATAGCAAAGTGACTCAGTGAGGAAATGGGATGTTTTGTTGATTTCTCCATGTTATATCATTGGGGTTTCGAGTGGATTTCGCTCTGTGATTGTGAATGGGTGTGATTACGCTCATCTTGAGTCTCCATGGGATATGGATTGAAATGGCTAGAAAGGCTTCTAGCAGGACATGGTACTTGAATCGGATATCCAGCTTCGGCAGTGATTTAATCATCCTCGATCAGTTTGCAGGCCATGATCAGGCCAGCCTGCATTCACGAACTACAAGGGATCCATCCTCCTTCTCCTTGGTCCCTTGATTTACCCCACATCTAAGATTTACCTCTAGTTCATTCACAATCACCCTTTTCACAGGAACTGTCTCCACCCTTCCCTTTCTCTTCCCACTCATTCTTATTAACCATTTCCTCCCAGCATTATCATGTTATTCATGTTCCCCTTCATTTCTTCTGGTCCGGAATTTGGACTCCAGTTTTCTCCACCTCCACCTATATGCACATGTACCCCGCTTACTATTTCTCTTCCCTCTTTTGTGTCATGTTCCCCTCTATATACACTTTCGCTCTTTGTGTTCACTGTATTCTATTGGTTGTATCATGTATTGTGACATGACATCATGTCAATGATCAGATTAATTGTGTGAAGTCACAAATGCATACATACATACGAAGTCGCATGTACTAGATACGTATACACACTTAACTAGTGGGATCAGGAGATATCTTGTCTCTTCGGGTTTGAGTCAAATGACTATTAATATATAGTGTCGGTAGGTATGTATGTGTGTGGGGAGTGAAATATCTAGGTATTTTTCTAGAATGAGAATGAGAGTGAGAATGATTATCTGGTTTGTATAGGGTATTTTGCTGGATGGGTATTGAATGTTGTATGTTGGATATTGAATATATTGTATGGGTTATAGTGTGTAGGAAGATAGGTAATTTTCATATAAGCTATATAACAGAGATGGGAGAGGAAAGATTGGGATAAGGGTGTAGGTGTAGGTGATGAGAATGAGAATGAGAATGAGTGGAGTCGAGTGTGTTAATGGGTTGAAATGGATTGGATTGGTCTAAAGGTGATGGAGTTGGTGGGATACATACAAGAGAGAAGAGAGAATATTTGGAATGTTCGTAGTGATCCATGGTATAGGAGGAATGGGATAAGAGGAACGAGGTAGGACAGGATTATATGAATACTTCGGAGAAAGGAAGTGATGCATAAGAAAGAGAGAAGAGAAAAGAAAAGAGATATAGAGAATAACGAAGAAGAAGTGGAGGAGGAGGTGGAGGTGAGGATTGAATAGTGAATGCAATGATATGATATAAGAACTTGGAAATCGAGAGAGATATCATATAGAAAGTTCTTTCTTTATACTATCTATCTGTCTATCTATCCAGTTGGCATTACATCACATCACAATACTCTCACTCATAACAAGATATCAAATTATTGACATAAAATTATTGAATTGAAATAAAATAATGTAAATACAAAGTCCAGAACCTCACAGTCTCAGTCTCATAGTAGATTCATTGATTGATAAATAAATCGAATACCAGGTAATCTGGTTCCTATTAGAATAATAAATGCATCTCATTTCGTCTCGTCTTGTCTTCGCTTGTATGCTCTATACTTTATACTTTGGCATATGTATATGTTATATGTGATATGTGATGGATAGATGGATAGATGGATAGATGGATAGATGGATAGATGGATAGATGGATAAATTCATATGCTTGAGTGCTATATACATACATACATCCATACATCCATATATACATACAAACCCATAAACTTTCCCTTCCCCTTGCCATACACCAACTCACCAAACCACCCACCTAAAAATTCCACCAACAAACACGTCAATCCAAATCCAAAACAAATTTCAACCCCTCAATTTCACCTCTGATTTTCCTTTTCATACCTACTTAAACATAGACATAGACATAAACATAAACTCATTCTCCTCATTTTCCTGTTTCTCTATATATAAGTCTTACATAGATTCGAAACTTAGATCACAATGAACAATGAATAATAAACAATGAATAATGAATAATAAAGATTCAAGATTCAAGATTCAAGGGAGCTAGTTGGAAATAGAAAAAGATATTTAGTATTTTAGTATTATTCTAAGAGAATCGTAGTTTTTGTAGTATATTCTTTTATTATATTGTATTGTACTATGATTTACTGAATATGTATGTTATACTAGACTAGATTATATTGTTATATTGTTATACACTTATATAAACACATCTAATCCCAATCCAATCCAATTCAATCAAATCCAACTCGACCCAATCAAAGAACCCCCATATCCCCTCCTCTTCTCTCCTTCCCCCTTCCCCCTTCTCCCCTTCCCCCTCACCAAACCAAACCAAACCAAAAAAAAGTCAAATCAAATCCAACCCAGCTTCCAAATTCCAATCCTCATAGCCCTCATAACCCTCATAATCAAAGAAAGAGAGACAATCAAGAAGTGAGTGTGAGTAAGTGAGTGTGAGAGAGAATACCTACCTATTTACATACCTACCTAAGTACCTAAGTACCTAAATAAAGAAAGTTGTAAAGATTTGGTGAGAAGGAATGATACTGGAACCTGAAGATTAGAACCTGGAGATTGGAAACGTCTACATGATTACCAAGGTAGGGAGGGTGGTGAGGATATAAGTGGGAAAGTTAGAACTTTATGTTGATGAGAATGAGATTGAGATTGATGACGTGTATGGCAATAATGAAAAGTGCAATTTTGATGTCTACAACAGAAAGAACAATTTAGAACTTTCAAGTGCTTTTTGCAGGGTCGCATTCAATGTCTAGAAAGAGCAACTTGCATCCAGATGAAGCTTGAAAAGAACCATACTTCCAGCCTGTATTCACAAACTCACAAATTCACATGATGAAAGAAGACAAAAATAATATTTAAAACCAGTGCAATTGTGTGATACCTGTATGGTTGAGTGTAGACTATCTATGTAATATCCTTCATTGACATCCCCTGTCTACACTTCAGTATCCTCATAGAACGCCCACCAATGTGTGTACATACACACTGCAAACCCTAATAAAAAGAAAACTAGGAAATAGACCCCCCACGCCATGAAAGTGTATGAACCTGGACTTTCGGTTGATAGTCAGAAACAATCAGAGAACTCCCCCCATGCTACTGAAGCTAACCATCACCCCACATTTATGAACAACGTATGAGTAACCGCGGTAATTATTTTGTTAAGATATCTTCTTAACGATCCTCAGCCCACTCGTTCTCACGGCGGATTTGCTCCTCCTCTTCAGGAGTGAAGTCATTGGTGATGTTGAAAGTCTTTCGGATTTCCTCTGGAGACTTTCCCTTGATCATGTTTGCAACTGTCTTGCATCCGACATCGAGAAGGGCCTTGATATCAAGGTAGTTGGCAGCCTAATGGTAAATTGTTAGAGGTGATCAAGTAAAATTGTTGCAAAGGAATATGACTTACAAGGATAATCTCGAACAACATCTCTTGATCGACTTGCATAAACTTTTGGTCCCATTCCTCAATATCAGTGGTCTTCTTGCGACTATCTGAATCGTCATCGGCAGTTGGGGCAGGGTCGTGCTTGTGGTGGTCAGCCCACTCGATGACCTTGCGGAGAACAGCCTCATTGACCTGCAAAGAGAAAGAATTATTAGTTCAAGATTCAATGATCATAAAGGTGAAATGATGTCAGAGAAACCTACATTAGGGATTGGGACTGGAGTCTCGAGAACACCATCTCCAAGATCATCCAACATGTTCTTGATCAACATAGAGCGCTCAGCAACAGCTCGCTCTATTGATAAAAGTTAGCATTCATTGTTGAACTCGGTCTGCAGGTTGGGTTTGGGTTCGGATAGTAGGCGGGGTAACTTACCAACAGTGACTTCAACATTGTCGTTGCTGACAAGTTTGATGGTAGTGGCGGTACCTTCAGACATTGTGAAAGATGTAGTTGTTTTCTTTGTATTGATTTGGAGGTTGTGAGAATTTATTGTGTGTTAAAGAAATCGTAGAGTTGTGTTGTGTAGAGTTGTTTGTTAAGTTGTTGGATGTAAGTGTTAATGAGAAGGAGGATTTGAATGGGAATTGAAGTCGCCTTTATGTCAGGCCTTGTGGTCGCTTAGCCTACCAAAATCCCAGTTCAAAAAGCGTAGTATGAATTTAAGTATTTTAGTACGTCCTAGTGTCTTTTTCCAGTTGGTTTACAAAAGTCAATAAAAGTCATCAATCACAGCTAGACATCATTAGAGTATTGGTAGTGAATAGTAACTGCCGTACATGAAAAAATTGACAGGTTCAATTGGTATAGATGGAATGCTAGGGAAAGGTAGGGAAGTAGCTGTAGTAGCCTTCTATACGGTGAATAGACGATCGGTTGCCTAAATATAAATATTTGAGTCACTGGTGATCATATCATAGGACCGGAAGCATAGCTTGGAAGAATAACAAAGTGTCTACTAGGTACAGCTACCTAACAAGCAATGAAGCTTTGCCTCTTTTGAATTGTACAGTTTGCATTGCACCATGTCAATCCATAGCACGCAGCGTCTATTTTGGATTAGCGCCTTCCTCATCATCAGTCACAGTAAGCGCTACCTGATGGCAGCCTTGAGATGTTCTGTTCTGTTCGAGTCGGTGAAGCTTGGATCTAAACGTGCACTGTACTCTTATGATTGGGGGACGAGGCAGAGTCAAGAGTCAAACCATGGAGCACCACATATAGAATAGAGTGGCTTTTTCTATGGGTTCTCAGCCTTGTCTGTCTGGTTTCTGGTTCAACTGCGCCCACAGCATGACTAGCGGTGCACGTGACACGTGTGGCGCTCTCATGCACTACCTAGGTAGGTAGGTAAGAACTAGATCTGGGTCCTAGAGAAAGAAATATGTGCTATACTCACATAGGTAGCATTAGACTCGAAAAGCATAACGAAAAGATTCCATCTAGAGAAGTTCCAAGTTGTTAGGGAGTTTACTATGATTATAGTACCTACCTACGTATGTTGCCAAGTGAATGAGCTTGTTCTAGCTGATTCCTCAATCATTTTCTGTTGATAGTGATGAGTTAATCATTGTTCTATCATTCATTCTATATCCAATCCACTGACTACCTATGCAAACGCAAATCATATCCAAAATATAGAACGATGCAGGTAGAGGTGGAGGTGGAGTTTTACTCCTCCATTGTCTTCGACCTGTCAAGAGGAGTCCCAATTGATCAAAAACATTTTAATAAAGGTTAATCAAAAGCCGAAAAGCTTGATGCTAGCACTTTTAGTAATATCATAATATCATAGGATACCTTGGCTACCTGAGCCGACCTCGGGACACTAGTTACTTATTACATACATCGTACCTAAGACCTGTCTTTGTGTAACATCATCATTTTAAACCTCACCTCATCATCTCATCGTTACCCCTTTTCCTAATTATTGAGGATATAATAATTTCTAAGCTGAAAAAAATAAAAAGTACAAAGAATCTTGTATCATCACTACAAATTGCATCCGGAATGAAAGGAGCAATATCTTCGGTAATGAATACGATTGGTCAGCCCATTCCAAATCTCCTGTCATTCCGAGATTGCTGATCTCCGTCATACCCCCAATGCCATCCTTGAAAGTGGAAAAAAAAATAAAAGGTCGAGGTAACGCAACGCGACTTTACTTTCCAACCGTTTCCGTTTGAAAAGGTATCAAACAACCCGTATTTCTCATACTTATCAGTGTTTGGAGTGTCTTTTGGTTTTCTCTTCCCATTTCCAATGACCTCTTTCTCTGTTATTATCCTTTTATCGCGTTTGCGAATACTTCTTTAATTTAATCCAATTTTTCTTCACATTGCCATTCTTCAAACGTATGCCCTAGGTAAAGATCAGAAATGCCTTTCTTCGGGCGTGCGTACTTGTTCCTTCTTCTTCTACGAGTCTGGTTTGCCCTCTCTCCAAGTTATCTACATCCTGATGAGAATTTTCAAGGTCCAGAGGTTATAGCTGGTAAGTTTCATATTATTTCGCAATGTAGCTTCCCTTTAGCTCCGGTAGATATATTCAGTCGGCATATCTGTAAAAGAGAGCTCCTTGCATGAAATCCAATCTACAAAGTATCTCTGCTAACAACCTGCAGGTGAAATTTTCAGCTATCCTGTCAAGTTAACCTGGGAATTTACATCCGAAAATCCGATTCGAAGTGTCTTCCCATTATGGCCTATCTATGGTCTGCCGATGCTACTCCTTCGATGGCTCTGGATAGGAAATGGAAATGACGGAGAAATACCTCCAATAGCGGTGTTCTTCGCTTTGCGACTGTTGATGTTGACTTTAAGTTTTGTGCTTGGAGATTGGGCTATTTGGGAATTGGCCGAATCAAAAAGACAATACAAAGTTGCAGTCTTGCTTGTGGCATCTTCATACGTTACCTGGACATATCAAACACATACATTCTCGAACTCGATAGAAACACTGGCAGTCGCATGGAGTCTGATTTTAATACAAAAAATCACGGCAATTAAGGTAGGAAGATGCGGAGAACATGTAAAAATGTAGAATATGAAGCTGATTGTCGTAGAAGCATACTTCGGTATCGTTATGCGGAATTCTTGCCTTCGTTGTGGTTTTTGGGGTATTTAATCGCATTACCTTTCCCGCCTTTCTGTTCATTCCGGGTCTTCGTCTATTACCACATTTCAAGAGAAAGTAAGGGTTCTCGACCCACCTAATGTTACCCTAGCTGATTTTTGATTAGGCCTTTTTCGCTCGTTTCGATGATCCTCTTCGGTCTCCTTGCTACATTTATTGCAATCTCTTTGGATACGAACTTCTACGCCAAGGTTCCAGTCACTTGGTCCTATCTTTTCTCCCATCCGACAATTACTCCATTTAATAATCTAAAGTATAATCTTGCACCGGAAAATCTTGCGCTTCACGGCCTACATCCATGGTATCAACATAGTCTAATAAATCTCCCACAATTATTGGGACCTGCCACAATACTTCTCTCCTTACGACCTGTGGCTCCTCTTCGACTTTGCTCTGCTATCTCGGGCGTCGTTGTTCTTTCATTATTCAAACACCAGGAGGCACGATTCTTGCTTCCAGCCATTCCTTTAATATTGTCATCTGTAAGATTACCCAAATCAAGAATTTCTTTGCGTATTTGGGTTGGTTTGTGGATTTCCTTTAATGTTTTATTGGGTCTTTTGATGGGTGTGTACCATCAGGGAGGAGTTGTCCCAACTCAAGTCTTCTTGAGCAAACAACCAGACGCTACTCATGCTTTTTGGTGGAAAACTTATAGTCCACCAATCTGGCTATTGAATGGCAAAAATGAAGTGCTCGACACTCATGATCTTATGGGCATCAAAGGAGAGCTCATGATAGAAGAGCTCAGAAAACTAGCGACTTGTCTTCCAAAGTCTGGAGAAGAGCTTACAGAAGCTACTTATCTTATCGCACCGACCTCCGCCACTTTCCTAGATAGATATATGGCAAATCAGACAGATCTGTACTTTGAGGAGATTTTCACATATAGAAAGCATCTCAATCTGGATGATATGGATTTTGGGGATGATGGGTTCTGGAGTACGACCACGAGGGTGATTGGGAGAAGAGGTATTGCGGCGTGGAGAGTTACGATGAATTGCCCGGAAGAAACCAAGGGTATGGATGAACCGGGAGATATCACGGACAAAGGGGAAAGTAGTTAGTTGTGGAAAGCTTATAAATAAATGTTCTTTTGTTTTTGATTTTGAGATGAGACTATTTTGACATTTTGCGATGCAGCTCACCTTTATTAGGGTTCAATATTTCGGGATTCATAGTCTCGCTAAGTACTCTACCATCAAAAATCCTCCTCGGCAGCTACAACACTTGACTGAATCATTCAATGTGGGTCAGATGTCGAAATACAAATTTTTAATAGAATCGATTGAGAATTAATAATCCATTTGTGGACAGACCCGTATCAAGTCTTGCAAATTCGGTGAATTCGTCTTCATTTCTGTTCATTCACCTCCAAAAACGATTATTGTACGGTTATGGTAGTGGTGATTGATCAGATGCCATACCTTCGCCTAGTGAATTGGAAACTGGGCCCGTATCATGCTTCCTTTTTATCCATTTGACACTTTCTACATCCCACAACATCAAATCTCAGTTCTTTTGTGAGACGATCTGACAACTTCTCAGCAAATTTTACTCCCAACCTACAAGATAACTTCGGATAATCAAGCAACATTTCAGGATGCCACTTCTCGCTCTTTCCAACGAGCTTCTCCATGCGATCATCGAATTCTGTGAGTTTAGTGGTGTACGCGAGCTCTGCAAGTCTTGCCATCAGCTCAACACAGTTGCTACGCCTCATTTGTATTCTACAATCACCTTCTATGACAAGACTGAAGAAATTTGTCCAAAAGATCCTTCCCACTACCACTTCCTTCGCACTATAGTCCATCGCCCTGACCTTGCGAAATTCCCAAGAATCTTCCATTGCGTGTGGTTACTTCGTGCACAAGTCGAATCGACCTGGAGACTCTTCTGTCGCAATATAGATGATAGTTCCGATCCCGCTACCAGCCTAAGTGATCTCATTAGGATCAAGGTCAACGAGGCCAGCGCCAGCAAAGAACACGCAAAGCTTTGGCACACAGCTATCTTTGGATTGGGAGATAGCAGGGCACCGGGTAGTGACGGTACTATGGCACTCATTGTCTGTCTTCTCCCCAATCTGAAGGAGATTCATATGTCCGAGGCAAATTTTAAGCGTGGTGGAAATGCAGGTACTTTTATTGACCCTACTGCAGAGTTCTTTGCCCCTATGTTTGCACACGCAGTAGCACTTCAGACAAAGCAGGGAGAATCGGAAAACGAAATCTCGCCATATTCTATGTCTAAATTGGCCTCCATGTCAATAAAGAACCTTTCGCGTGCTGATGTACCACTTTCAAAAATTCTGCATCGTCTTGAACTGCCATCACTCAAAAAGTTCGTCGCTCAATATGCCATCGATCTTCCCAACGGAATTCCCTTCAGCATTCCTGAAACATTTACCTCTGGAGTCCAGGACCTGCGATTTGAGCGTAGTTTGTTCCACCCTGAAAATTTGAGAAGACTCCTGAGCGCCTGTCCATCACTTTGCAAGTTTGCATTAGAGTACTCCAGCACCAGAATTCCGTTTTGTTCTACAGAGATGGTTGAAGGTTTGATGGCCAGTAAGGAGACACTCAAATTCATTGAAGCTGGAATGACAAGTGAATTCATACGCCCTCATTTGGTTCTTACTGGATCCTTCGGTCGACCCGGTTCATTTGCAGATTTCCCAAGATTAAAGGAGATTGTCGCGAGTGCTGGAGTCATTCTTGATGACTCGGCAAACAAAAACACATCTGCAGAGAAGCGTAGTGATGAAGATACCGACGCTGATCACATAAGAGCCTTTTTACAGCGCATCCCTCGAAGTCTCCAAAAACTCACATTGAAAGACTGCTACGCGTTTGATCGCACGTCATTTGCGGCAGTGCTGGCATTGGTCAGAGAGAAGGAAAGATATACTCCAGATCTCAAGTACATCAGCTTGACGTGGCTCGGTATTCATCCTTCAGAATATCGTCCGAGCAAATATGATTTGATCAAGGCATGCAAGGAAGGAGGAATTGAATTAGCATTACATTTCAAACATTACTATTTTTAATAGGTAATTAATAAATTGTCAGGGAGCTACATACGGTGTTTGCATCTTTCTCGAAATACACTGTCAATTTGTCAATGGTATTAGTAGAGATAGATGAAAGTTTAGCTTACGGAATCTCTTCATCAATCTTGAATAAACGCAAAGGACTCTTGACTGGTAGGATTCTTTCAAGGTCTGATGTACGTTAAATAAACACAATAAAATCGATTGTCAAAACTTCAGCAATGAAAATCTCATGCATTATTTAACATGTGTTTGTACCATAAGCTTCCCGTCATTGAAACATCTTTTGGCCGCCCTTTCGCGACCGCTACTTTGACGGAAAGCTAGGTAACTGGATCGTGGGTGGCCTTTCACTTAAATGAGAGCATGAGTCTCTGCCAGAGTTAGCTTCTTCCATTATCTATATATACTGTTTTCTCCTCACATAATTTTCAACATTCATATCAGAATAGGGAATCTCTGTTTATATACAGTTTCACATGAGTCTAGACCAACAATTATATCAAACCTTCCTTACCTATCCTACCCATGAAAGCCTCGGTTCATGCGGCAACACACCCGTCTCCACCCCGCATTACGCTAATTCCCCATACTTTTCAATACTTAGTAGGACTTCTCGATTATTTCGTAAAGCCTCCACATGTTTTTGTAATCTGATAAAAACAACTTCCTAAAATACTCAGATCACGCTCTGTTGAAATTGTCCCAAAGAAATGTCTTCCTCAGTTCCAATTCCCTTCTCTGAGCCTCCTTGGCTCATGGGTTTACCATCTCCTTATTACAATGCTTCACATCGCAAATGGCAAAAAACATGTCAAGCCCTTGTTTCCGAACTACTGGGTGAAGCAGGTGATTGGGAAAAAGAGGGTGATGTACCGGGTACATACTTCTTATTGATCTAATATGAAATCATATATTTCTAATATATAAACCTTTAATCAAAACCAATACTAATCAATACATCCAGTCAATCTCTACCAAAAGTTCGCCAGCGCCAACTTCCTCATCCCCAATCTTCCCTCTCCTCTTCCAGTAGGATGGCTCAAGAAAATCGGTATCACCCGTCTCCCCGGTGATCTCCCCGTTGAAGAATTCGACTACATGCACACCCTAATCTTCACAGATGAAATGCATCGTTCTGGTTCTCTCGGGCCCTCCGGCGCCATAACTACCGGATTCGCCTTCGGGGTTCCGCCTATCTTAAAATTCGGCTCTCAAGCCCTGCAAGCCCGTTTCCTCCCCGATCTGCTCACCGGGAAAAAAAGAATTTGTATCGCCATCACCGAGCCCGGCGCCGGAAGCGACGTCAGCGCTATTGAAACCACCGCGCGCAAAAGTGATGATGGGACGGAATGGATCGTTGACGGGTCCAAAAAATGGATCACCAATGGTCTCTGGTCTGATTACGCTACCATGGCTGTGAGGACGGATGGGCCGGGCCCAGGAGGTCTCTCGCTTCTCGTTGTACCTCTGCTCCAGCATCCCGGGGTGACGATGCGCAGGATCAAAGTGGGCGGACAGACGGCCGCAGGGACGACTTTTATCGAGCTGGATAACGTGCGGGTGCCGCGGGAGAATCTGATAGGAAGCGAAGGAGCGGGCATGAAATACATCATGCAGAATTTCAACCACGAGCGACTGAGCATCTCCATTTCGGTGAATCGCATTGCGCGCACGGCGCTGAGTCACGCGTTTGCATACGTGATGAAGCGGCACGCGTTTGGGAAACCGCTGATAGAGCAACCGGTGGTGCGCAATCGCTTGGCGCGATGCGGTGCGGAGCTCGAGAGCCATTGGGCGTGGATCGAAGGGTTTACGTGGATGATGACGCAGCTGGGAGAGGCGGATGCGAATCGCGAGTTGGGCGGCTTGACGGCGTTGGCGAAGGCAAAGTCGGGGATGGTGTTAGAGAGTTGTGCGTCGACGGCGGTGTTGCTTTTCGGGGGGAATGGGTATACGAAGAGTGGGATGGGGGAGGTGGTGGAACGTTTGTTATTCCTTTTCTTTGTTTTTGTTTTTGCCTTCGTTTTCTTTTTTACGTAATCCCAATCCCAATCCCAATCTTAATCCTAATCCTAACTCGTCCAAACTAAACTTCCCCAAATTCCCTAGAACTAACACATCCCCCCTCCCCAGGAATCTTCCGCGAAATCCCCGGCGCCCGCATCCCTGGCGGCAGCGAAGATGTCATGCTCGATCTGTCCATCCGACAACTGGTCAAGAATTACCAATTGAAGATGAAGAATGAAGCTGAGAAAGCGGGATTGGAGAGACCAAGGGGAGACTCGAAATTGTGAGGTGGGGGGTTATGAAGGAGGAAGGGGGTGGGATTGATATGAGGAGGAATGGGGAATAGATGAATATGAATAAATATAAATGAATGAATGGAATGATTCATATTTTAATTCTGATTTTGATACCTACCTATGTAGACAGCATCCTACATATATGTACATATTCGAATGCTGCATCAATTTATCAATCGTGAGAGAGAGATGTTATGATATGTTATGATATGGTATGATACACACATACGCATTCATATCCGCACACCAAAGCTTCATAAACTAAGAAGATACCTACCTAGATAATCAACTCATAAACTATCCTCTCTTTCTCTCCCTCATACCAGAAAATCAATTCACCCAGATCAGATCAGAGCGAGTCAGACACATGGATTCACCAACTTATCGCTCATCGCTCATTTCAAGATCATCATCATTATTATATTAGCAAGCCCAATTCCAACCTCCAGGTCAACTCAACTCCACTCAACTATCTATCATCTATCTCATTAACAAAACCACCACCTCACTCTCACACACTCTCACTCCCACTCACACTCAAATGCCAGTATCAATGCCCATCACATCACTCGTATTCGTGGGTATATAATGATTCAATCATTCAACAAAAAAAACGATCAATCGTACATGTACTTCTTCTCCTTTCGTATCAAATATACCATACTCACCACTCTCTCATCACCATCATCATTATCATACATAAAGATACGTGCGCAGAGTCTTTGTAGTAGCTTAATCAAACAAAGCTAAATGCGGTTCATTTTCCTCCTGGTTATATTTTGTGTTTTGATTTGTGTTTCTTCTTCTTTGGATTGGTTTGATTTGGGTGTTTGTTTCGTTTTCGAATTTGCGGGAGTTGAATATCGGATCTGGTTTATTTCGAATCGGGAGTGGGTATCATTCATGAAACTTCGCGTGGCGAGCAAAGAAGTAAAATTTCGGAAGATGACAGTGCAGTACGGTCCAAAAGTGCAGTTTCGTCATTGGTCCGAAACATCTCATATCGGGTTGTGCATCGGCGGTAATGTATCGCCATGCAATCTCGGTGTTCTCTCCAATTCCCCTCCCCTTCCTCTCACAGTACCCTCATCACTTCCACTGGCCCCCACGGTACTAGTTCCCGCGCTCGTGCCTGTGCTCAAACCCCTCTTCATCATCTTCCCCAGAATACTCACTAATTCTGCCGCGTCTTCAAACATATCGTCGTCCATTCCCTCATCCGCATTATAGACTTCGTTAATCGTCTTCCGGGCCAACTCTCTCGACCGATTCGCTTCATCCAGACAATCATATATAAATGCTGTATATTCGACTTTTGCAGATAGGCGCAGAGGGTGAGAACCCCATAATTGGCGATCGGCAAGGATTGATGCGTCTTCGAAACATTGCGTTGCGAAGGGACGGTAATCGAGAGCGGGGATGAGGAAACTCCCTGTGATATCTGGAGGTGGAAGGGAGAGACCGGGCGGTCCGCCGACGGGTCCGCCTTCGAGAGCGTGGGTAAGTTGGATACTGGATGGACGATGTGGGTCTGGCGGTGGGGTATTGTCGATCCCTTTGCCTTTTTCTTTATAGCGTGGAGATGTCAAACCAGGTGGAGTAGAGATCTTGGGAGTTCTGAGAGTGATCGCAGGAGTATTGTGGAAGAGAACATAGAGATGATAATAACTCGCTCTCAGTTTATAAACGAGGACTTTTAACTCTCCGAAACCTGCCACTAGAGGTAGAACGTATTGCTCTAGAATTTTCAAACCTTCTTTCGCGTACCAAATGATTCGAGTGTATAGTTCGACGGATTTCGTATCACGGGTTGTGTCGAGTCGTCTCAGTTTTCGCGCTTTCACAACCATTTTTGAGAGCATGGTAAGATTTCCCAAAATCTGGAATAAATTTTGAGCCAGCAGTGGGTGGTCCAATTGAATGTTTTTGGCAAATTGGCCAAGAAACTTTGTGTCGACCTCTGAGGATGCCATTGTGGTGATTGGTGAATTATGGAATTGCGTGGAAGTGGACCTGGACCTGAAAATTTGTTCAAAAGATCCAGAGGCAAAAACAGAGGCTCCTGTTGAAGAAGACTGATGATAGAGTCAATTGCTGGATTTTGTATCGGCTCAATATAGTATTGGTTGCGTGATGAGAGAGAGCGCGTCGCCGCGAAGAATTAAAAGCAGTATAAACTACCAATTCAACAGGACAGGACCAGTGATAGGATATTCTGGTGGACTCGTATATAGAGAGAGGTTAAATCCAGCAAAGATTTCGACGACACGATCCGGTGATGTATCCAACAAGGTCTTGCAAAATTCGACAGCGAGCGTGATCCAAATGAGTCCAGATAATTCGAATTCACTTCAGCAACCCCAAATAAACAAAAATTCTTCAGACCACCTCCTTTCAGTAAACGTCCTTCCAGTCCTATCTTCACAATGTTGTAGTCGCTCCTATGGGAACTCGAGTGTGTCCAAATGCTTTGATTGTGTGTGGACAAGGCGCAAAATAAAAATCGAATATCGTGGAGAATTAAAGAGTGTGAAGAAGATGGATTCGCCCAGCCGAGTGAATCAATTAAAGACAGAGAATCGAAAGGACCGAACAACCTGATTGAATTGTTTCTCTCGTCTTTACTTCTTGAGAGGACAATTTTAATTTTAATTAGTATATTTCCCAACGTCGAATGAATCAATCAACGAC